GCTCCATAGGGATTTCTTGGCTGTCATCTTTACGGAAGCAGATCTCCAGGCCTTTCTTCTGCAGAGCTGCTGTGTGGGTTCAAACCACCAACCTGTAGGTGAGCAGCCAATCACAAACCACTTGCACCACCCAGGCTCCTACATACCTATTAGCGTGTCTAAAATTAAAAAGCTTGATCATACCACGTGTTGATCGACATGTGTGGAGCAACAGGAACTCTCATACTCTGCTGGTGGGAATGTTAAATGGTACTTTCACTTTGGTAAACAGTTTGGCTGTTTCTAATAGCCAAAAACTGGAAACAACCCAAATATCTATCAACGGGTTAATGGATAAACACACTGAACTATATCCACAAAAGATAGTACAACTTAACTATGAAAAGGAATAAACTTGGATGGACCTTAAAATAGTTATACTGAGTGGAAGAAGTCAGACAAAATGCAAATATTCTGAATGATTCCATTTATATCAAATTCTAGAAAATGCAAACTAAGGTACAGTGACAGAAAGCAGTTCACTGATTTGGTGGGGGTGGTGATTGATGGGGATGGGAGGGAGGGACTACAAAGGGACCTGAGGAAACTTTTGGGGGTGATGAGTATTTTTATTATGTTCCCAATTGTGTGTGTGTGTTGAAAACTTATCAAATTTTACCCTTTAAATATGCACAGTTTATTGTATGTCAATTGTCAATTATTCCTCATAAAGCTATTAAAATTTTTATAGTTCATTCTACGAAATTGCATAGAATCTTACGGAGTGCATTTCTGTGTGTCAATCTTAACTTTCAGTTTATGTATTTTCTATCCAAATTTTGCACTGATCCTGCTTTATTTTTTTCTTCTGTATCCTATTTATTGAAGGATACGTGAAAGTCCTAGCAAATTATTTTTTATAATAAGATGAACTATAAAGCACACAAATACAGCAATGTCGTATTTTCAACAGGGCCATGAGATATGATATTTAAAAATTAACAAAATCCTCCTCACATATGTCGGTATAAAACGCAACATTGAGAGGATTGCCCATGGGCTATGGCTCTTTTAAGGAAATAACTCCTTTCATTCCATACCATATGCGCAACATATCTTCTGAATTGTCTGATCTCATTCATTCATCAAACATATATTTCTCTGCCAGGATTTGAGCGATATGAGTATGTGATATTGAATTTACTTGGCCATATATGATTGATTGTAGCTGTGATTTAAATATCACATGAAAAATTGTAGACACTAGATAGAAAGTCTTAATGATGTTAGATGCATGGTTTCCTCTCTATAACGTTATTTTCTTCTTAGATGTCATATTTTCAGAAACATCCTGACACATTCTCACATTTGAGGGGCTTGATTCATTTGATACATTACCCTTTTTAAAAAATAGGATTAATGCCAAATGCTTCCATGAACGCCAATGATTATATCACAGAATTATTAATTTAGTTTTTCACTTAAAGAGTAAATTCACTGGACTGTACCAACTGGAGTGTGAATTAACTCATTGTAGTTTGAAACGGAAGGATTATCAATACAGCTAACTTTTTATTATGTTTCTATTTCTTGAATCACATGCCCATTTAGAGATTTTTCTCCGCAAAGCTAAAAAAAATGTCTGTCCTTTTTAATTTAGTCTTCATGGGCATGCTGCAAATATTCTACCTTGCTATGTTTTTCAAGCCTATTGTAGTGGAGCCAATTCTTCATTTTCTTTGCTTCTCACCTGTTTCTGTCTATTTATTTGTGTATAAGATGTCAAAGGAAAATGAAAAGTAACACCTCAAAATACCACCTTGAAAAAGAAAATGCCAACAAATTCTTTTCTGCACCTGAAGCTTTTAATTCTTTAATCCACCGTGGAATGTCGCTTAATTACATATTTTATTATGCATAACTGAAAATCATGTACTTTAGTTTCAACAATGATATGAAAGCATGTATTGTTTATAAATAAAGAGAGGCTGGTTTGTCTATTTTTTTATGGTACAAATATTTGTGGAATTCTCACAGGTTCTCCTTCTAAAACTTGGTTTTTTTAATATTCTCAGAGAGCTCTCAAAAAAAAAAAAAACCACTTTTTTGAGTTTTTAATGTTCTCTCTAGAAATTAGAAAATTCTTTACTTTGCAAAACAGCAAGATGATGTCATCATATCATGATGGGCAAAATTCTCGGGCAATTAGGATATTTTGGTAGAAATTTCATCTTTTACTATTTCACAAAGCATTTATTAATGGAAAAAAAAATCCAATTATTGAAGCTGGGTGATGAGTATGTGAGGTTTCACTATACTCATATACCCTCTTTGCAGGCTTGAAAATTTCCATGATAAAGTGCTTTTTTTTTTTTTTTTTTTTTTAAAGCATTTGTTGTTATAGATCTTATACCGGATGGCAGAACTTGGGGGTACTATTTCACGATGAAACATTCCATACACTTGATTTCAATTACTTAGTTATTGACTTTTTCATATTAGCAAACTACATATTATATATTTGAAATTTTTGAATTGCAATTAATTTTTTTCCCTGCATTTACTGCATTTGAGGAAGCCTTCACTAAGGAGAAAAGAGAAGACAGAGATTGGAAGATAGAAGACTTTGGTTTGAGACCCAGGTGGCCGTTTAACAGCTGACCCAATGGGTAGCCTCTTTGAGTTTCCCCTTCCTTGACTCTGAAGTGGGGAATTTCAGTCCCTGCCTTAAGTACCTCATAGTGGAATTGAGAGGCTTGAAATAAGCTACTGTCTATGGCTTTGTCTTGTAAAACGAAGCTTTCTACAAGAGTTGTTGCTACTATCATTTTAAACAGGTCTGAGTACAAGTCTAGGAAGGGGGCCTCAGGTAGGTATGGAGCCTTTGCAGTTCTACCAGGTCTGGCAAAACAAATATTTAAAAATTAAAATTGGAACCAACAGTGGAGTAGGTGAAACCTGTCCCTACATTAAGATGCTGTTCTACAAGTTTGTGCTCACTTTGCATCACATTGCCACAGACTCAGTGAATTAATGGACACATTTAAATATTTGAACCTTTTCAACATTTTCATCTAACAGGCACTGTTTGCGTCTGTGTGTGCGCGTGTGCGCGTGTGCACACGAGTGGAAAACCAGGACAGCACATGGGACGTCATTTCTTTTTGGGGGAAGAGGATACGACGGAGCCCTGTGTTGGCGCAGTGGTTAAAGCGCTCGGCTGCTAACCAAAAGTTAGCGGTTCAAACCCACTAGCTGCTCCACAGGAGAAAGACGTGGCAGTCTGCTTCTGTAAAGATTTACAGCCTTGGAAACCCTAAGGGGGCAGTTCTACTCTGTCCTATAGGGTCGCTATGAGTCGGAATTGACTCCCAGGCAATGGATTTTTGGTTTTTTAAGGGTATGAATGAAAGGGTTTGTCATTGTATTGAATACATCTTCTTTGGATACCATAAAAATCAATATTTCCGATTCAGCTAAGAGTAAAGCAATAATGTTCAACACTTAACGTGGTGCAAAATGTGTCACTTTAGAGTTTCTATGCCAGTGTTAACATATACAGTATAATGTACTGGTCTACTTCAGTCCCACATCAACCACCTCATCATCAGTTCTCATAGAAAACAGGGTCCAAGTCATGTGCTTTTGATCACAGTAAGAGCAGCTGAAAATAATTGATGGAAGGTGACTTAATACACAACCTTGGTACTGAATTTGTGTTCTTTAAATAAAATTAAACTTGAAAATATCTATGACTCACATAAGTAGGGTAAGGTAGGAAAGACTTAAAAATGCTGCTCATCTTTTAAATGTTAATTCCAAACTATTTTTATTTAACATTTGGTATTGTTAAACAAGTATTCTGGACATACACCTTCCACCACATTTCTTTAACGAGGGTACTTTATATTTATCAAAAATGTGCATGTTAATAGATTTTAGTTTATCCTGTCAGAAGACATGCAAGTATTTAGTATTTACATTAACAGTATTGCCTCAGAAGAAACACCAAGTCCATAATATTCCTCTTTAAAACGTAAAAAATATTATTTGTAAGGTAGACAATAGTATTAATTTAATATTTTAGATATCATTAGTATTTTGGGACTTCCATTGGTTTCCACTCTATCATGCAAATTTCTGGCTTGCTTTAATAGTCCTGTTTCTATCAGCTAGATTATAGTGTATACACATTTTAATTGCTCTTTTTGAAAATATCACCAGGCAGTTCAGAACACCTCATTTATTGAAAATATTACTGTGTGACAATCAAGGACCTTGGTATCAGCCAGATGTTAACAATAGGGAATAGGGCAGAATCGAATAATGGGATGTATAGGATTTGCATTTTCAATCTTGAACCATTTGAAGATGTTTTCTATTCAAGCTATGTATTTTAGATAAGCACAGTCAGACATAGATATCACTAGTTGGGAAAGAAAATAAACCCAAGAACACCTTGTGTAAGCTTAGAATTCCTTAGAACTAAATGTTAATACACACTTCAGACATAATATGTACAGACTTTGTAACTAAGTGCCACACAAGTAGGGCACACATAGTAGTTACCTTAGTTTTCAAAGAAGGTGATGTGTCAACTCTGTGTATTGTGTGCCAAGGAGATACTATCAACATCATTTTTTGCATAATGTGCAAGTATTATATGGCCACAAAGGGTAATACAAATTAGTGGCAAAGTGCTGAGTAAAGGAATCCACGACAGATTCAGATGCACAAGGTCGAATATTACCCGTAAACTACCTGACTCTGCTAAGGTCTTAACAGCACAAAGCGCTATGTCATGCCCAGCTTTTATAAGTATCTGAAATATTTGGACACAATGAAGCTTGTTAAAAGGAGTTTCATTAAAGCCACTGGCAACAAGGGGACTGGCAGGAACGATAAATGACACTGGGAGAGCAAGGTGGAATATTATGGGATAAGTTTTTTCCAAAATGTGCCATCTTCCCTGAAGGCAATGTTTGCTCACTCCATGACTATCATTATTTATTAACATGTGCTTTTTTTTTTTTTGGTTTAAAATATCAAATTAGTAAAGTCATACTTAAAAAAATTAAAGGGCCTAAGGGAGAATTTCATTAGCATTGTTATGTTAATTTCTAAGACACAATCATCGACTCGTTAAAAACGTTATTTCCAAAGAGGTTAGGAAGTTATTGGGAAAGGGAAGATCTTACCTGCAACCCAATTCCTCCTTTCATTATTATTTTTTCACTAAATACTTGACACCTTAAGTGCTTGGCTAGTAAAATAAAATAAAAATCAATTCAACTCTCTCTCTAGCCTTTTCCCTTAAACTTGGGGGAAAGAAGATGAAGCTACCTTCTCATTAACTTCATGGCATACTAGCTTCTACTAATTTTCTATTTCTTTTTTAACACACAGAATCTAGTTTGTTTTCTCAATTCAAATTCCTCTTGCTCAAATGATTAGTTTTCTGAACTCTAGTGAGCAAGAGTGTTTAAAAGTTATTTTTGCACTTAATAAAAAGGAATTGAAAACTTTTTCAATACAATTTTAACTTTGCAGCAAACCAGCTGCCTTCAGAGCAGCTCAGCTGGGCTTCAAAAGTAAATGGTAATTTAAAGCTGAATTGGGAGTTTTCAACGCGCCCGATTCAGTTTCTTAAGTAAAAGTTCAACATTAAAGCAGCCCAGTCACCTACCAAGGAGATCATCGGGGCCTGGGGAAATGGTAGGCAGAAAGAAAACTGGTGATTGTAGAACTTCATCTCAAGAACCTAGGTATCCCTATTAAGAAAATCCAAGAAACCTTAAAAAGCAGCAGCAAAGATCAAGTGAATGGAATACAAAAAATCTGAAACACTGGCCTCAATCCTTTCTGTAAGTTAGCACACTTCATTTTATATCTTGGAGTTTACTAAGTTCTGTTTTGCAAGAATCAGCTATTACCTTTTAAAGAAAAATTGTGTTTAAATTTCAGGTCTGTTATTCTTACACTCTTCATGCAGTTCTTAAAAGAGTTATGATATACACAACCAAATGAGCTCAGAATTAACTTATAGTCCATTTGTAACTTGCAAAATAAAACCATTGCTTGCTAAAGGGTGTTTACACAGAAGATCTATTTTTTTCCTACTTATTTTATGTTCCTATGAATGGCCTTAAAGATATTTATACATTAGCTTAAGGAAAATTGTTGCCATAATTGAACTATTAAAACAAAAAGCACATGTATTCATTCTAAGTGCATCACTGCCAGATACTGGATTTCTGTTTTTGTTGGAGAGTCTTTTGACCACCCTGCTGTTCATCAAGCAAAATGTTAACCAAAAACAGACTATCATCTTCATTGTTAAACTTAAAAAATGAGTGTCTGTGACTTAAATTTACAGTGTTTCAAGGTGACTTTTCAATTGCTCTTTCGAAAGTTGGTAAAATATCATCAAGAAAGTATTAACATGCACTTTAATGAGAAGGCCATCCTTGGACTCTTTTTCTTAGTTACTTCACATAAGCAGACAAACCCTACCATGTCATACCATACAAACAAGTTTAATTGTGTAGTTACAGTCAATAACCACTCCTAATCAGAACATTTCTGCATAAAGAAAATTGTGATACACTTATAAAAACAGCCAGCTGTAACAAAATAGCTGGTGTTTTCATAGCCATAAACTCATAAAAAAGAAATACACCTTTATACAGAAATTTTATACAGATGTAGCTTTAAAATTGATTGTAAACCAAAGGAAGACACATTGCAAACATCAATTATTTTCACATTAATTGCATAATTTTCTAAGGTGATCTATTAGTTTTATTTACCTAAGCTTATTTGCATGATAGTAAAAATTGCATACAACAATAAGAGTGAAGCTTATAGTATGAATTGCTTGGATAACATAGAGCACTTTTTATAGGCAACTGTGTAAAGCACATTTTCTCTATTTAAAACTTTTAAGACACTTTGTTTTACTGCCCATTAAAATACATTTATAAATAGAAGAAACAAATCAGTATGGTAAACAAGAGAAGCAATATTACATTTAACGGAAACTTCCAAAAAATTAATTACAACCTGATGCTGCAGGATCTACAAATAAATAATGAGGACTTAACTGTGTTTCACATTTTGTTTTTTGTTTTTTTTTTTTAAAATCATGTAACAATGAGAATGAAAAAAAATTACAGTGAACTTTTATTTTCAAAATAAAAACAAATTTGAATTACGGCAGTGCCATATAATACAAGGCATTTGTTGGCATATGTCATTTTTAAACTGCATTCCACAGTCTATAGTTCTTTTGTAACATACAATAGAGTAACAAACTCTTTTTTTTTTTTTTTAAATAAGGGGCGAGTTGCGAGTTTCCAAAGATCAGTGTGGAGTGTTACAGAAATAATTAAAGGAAAGGAAATAATAATCATAGAAGTTATAATGCTTGTTTGAAGGCTCCAGAATTTAAAAAAAAAAAAAAAATCACTGGGGTCATGCTTATGGGGTACACACCTTGGTGCCTCCCATGAACACAAATTTTAATACCAAACAATCCTTGATGCTTCACCTGGGGCTGCCAAGCAGTTCGTAGAACAGAGAAAAACATTTAGTGCAGAGTCTGTATGATCCTTTCCCGACTTTCCCGTCTGTGCAAGCTTCTGAAGATTCATTGGCCAAACAATGAACAACAAAGGTTTTCGGAGAGAAGACAAGGTGGACTTTTCATTTGTTAGTAAATACCAGTGGCACTGTTGAATGAAAATAATACTTTCATCTCAGTCTTTCAAGTCCGCATTAATGTCTGTGTTCCCTTCCACGGAGAGCTCTTCTTCTAGTTTCACTGAAAAAAGGGTGTTAGCATTTTTATCTTGGACACTCTCTTCTAAATCCTTAAGCAACTCCTCTTCTTTATATTCGGCGACATCTACCTCTAAACCGGAATTGTCCTTCAGTTTCCCGTGGTGCTTTAGATAATACCGCTGGTTCTGAAAGAACTTGATGATGGTGTACTTGGGAAGGTCAAGTTGAGCGGACAGAGTCTGGATGGCCTCTTCGTCTGGATACAGGCCTACGTCTTGTATAAAACTCTGGAGGATGCCCAGGGCTTCCACTGAAATTTTTGTTCGTGGCCGGGTCTTCTGCCGATTCTCCTCCTCGGACTCGGCGGGCGAGGCCACGGTGGGCTGCCGTGGGGGGAGCCGAGGGCCAGCCTGCTGCTGGGGCTGTGGCTGCGCAGGGGGCGGCGCCTGCTGCTGCTGCTGTTGCTGTTGCTGCTGCTGCTGCTAAAGAGAAACCAGGAGACAATCAGAGCTCTCCTCTCTCACAGGTCTACACTGAGCGTCCACTATTAGAAAACATGGAGTTCTGAATCCCGCAAATAGCTACTTCTACAGGGACAAAGATTCAGAATGTAAGGGCAGGCCAGCTAAATGGTCCACAGCATTAGAGAAAAAAAAATGGTATGAACTAAAGGTATGAACTAGTACGGCTTTAGAGGGCTCCGGTGAGTATTTACCAGAGCTCAGTGGAGCCTCCCTGGGTTCTCAGTCTGGCTCCTGGAAGTGAAAACCCAGCACTCTGAAAATGCAAGCCATCAACTTCACCAGAAGGATGCGCATCAAAGGCGAAGACAGCAAAGCAAATTATGACGTAAATAATTAACAAAGATTTAAAATGAAGATTGAGAAATCAGGATTTCAAAGACATTTTAGAATGGTGAGCCGCAAAGCCTTGGAGAAGGAGATGTGCGTGTTGCCCTATTTCATCCGATGGCTGAAACATGGAACAAGAATAGAAAGTCACATTTAAATTCCAAATAAAATGGTTACGTGTTCGCTTAGCATTTTCTGAGTCCAAAGGAGTTTTGCGATTCTCAGGTTTGTGAATTTCCTAGTGGACAGTTCCCATTTAATATACACACAATTTCTTACCAAAATGCACTAGGCTGACATTGCAAAGTTTTTTTTCTTACCGAAAACCAAAGATTCAATCCATCACAGAACGGCTAGTGAACTGCTTTGTCTACAGTAAACTCAGATGTGATTAGGATTCAAATTTAGTGTATACAGACATTTTTTCATAGTGTCTGTATATGTGCTGTAATTTCCATACACAATTATATACAACAAATGTGACTCGTGTACATCCTGTACACACTAAATCCCAAATTCTTATCAGCAAAGCAAAGCAACCTGAGTAAGTGGCAAAATATGAGAACGTTTATACTGTGCCTAAGCATTTCCTTTTATTCCTCAAGAAGCAATTTTATTAAAAACAATGTACATTTTCAAACAAGTACTATTTTTATTACTTAACATACATCATTCGCTTTTTTGTTTTTACTAAAACAGTAAATTTTTCAGGATTTTGTGATTATTTCAGCGCTTGATATCCTAAGGGATTCTCTTTTTCAATTTGCTTTATCTTTAAAACACACTCAAGGATTTTTTTTCCCCTGGTGGATAGTAACTATTGTTTTTAGCTATATATATACATTTGTTTTTTTCCCACGGCAACATCAAGAAATACACAGCTGATACAACAAAGACAGTAAAATTTTAGGATTCTGGAAGGCAGTGGCATTTTCCCTTAAAGAAGGAAGCTAAAAACACCCCCTTAGATTTATCAGAAGTAAGTTGTATAGCTCAAGTTCAATTGCAATACACTTCCTAAGCAAGCAAGGCCATAAGAGCACCAACAAACTATGTGATCCCAGAACTTTCTAATCTAAATTTGTTGGAGAGTTCCGTTGGTGGACGCCTGGTAAGAAAATGCCTCTAGACTCTGCTTTCCCAAGGGTGGTGGGAGAGGGGCTCTAAAGGAAAGACAAACAGACATGACTCACCCCTAACCTGTGTTCTGTGAGGGTCTGGGGAGACAGCAACAAGGTGAAGGGCATGACTAGGAAACAAGATTCCAAATAGGTTTCCCTCCCCTCCTCTTTTTGGATAGAACCCAAGGTGTAGAAAATGTGATTCTGCAAAATTCCTCTACAGAAATAGTCATTCCTTTCCTCAGGGGCAGTATGGTATTAATTAAAAGAGAGATGGTGTTTCAAACTCTGATTTAAAAAAAAAAAGAAATTAAGCTCTCACACACAAAACAGCCCCATACTAACAAAGACACACTCGCCAAACAACGAGTGTAAAAAAGGGGTTCCTGTCACTTCAGGGGTGGGGAGATGAGGGGAGAGGAACTCAATACACACACTGAAAAAAGTGCGTTAATTTCCCTTTTATCTCCCTGAGCAAGATGGCAGTGTACTGTTGTCTCGTGCTAAAAAGCCTCTGTTGAGACTGGAGGGAAGAAGAGAAACACTAATTTCCCTGCTAAGTTTGCAGCTTTATTTACTTAGTGCTATATTGAATTGGCCAAGGTAAACGAACCTGAATCTGCTCTGCTGGAACATGGATGATGTGGGGTGGCCTGTCGCCATGGTGATGTACCGCATTGCTCTCCTGTTCATAAATGGCATCACGCTCTGGCTGAGGAAGACTGAGGAACCTTCGGATCATGGACAGGTTCTCCCACAGGGTCCTGTTTTCTGGAGAAGGGTCTTCCTTCCAGCGTAACAGCTCGCACAACCATCCCTAAGAGACAAGGGCATAACAGGTCAGTTCATGCCTATGGGGGATGGGGACTGACATTTTCCATTAGGAGCTGAAAGGGAAAGACCCAACAAAGGTAATTTTCATAAGCTCAGAACACTCCAATCTGCTTAAATCTTTTTACCTGTTAAAAAAGGGTAAATGGGGCTGTCAGGGAGGCAGACTCTGTTCCTAATAAATGTTCAGATTTGTATCTTAAAGGAGGGACATTATTTTTCAGACTCCAAGGGGAAGAGAGAATTTTCATCACGGACTCTGGATTGTACAGAATGGGAGGAAAGCAAACTTGAGTGTGCTTCTGGTATTTTCTGATGAGTAGACATCTGAGGGTATTGAAGATATTTAAAAAGGAATAGGGCAGATTTTGGAACTATTTTTTTCTAGAAGGATTCCCTTGTTTAATTTTTGTAGTGGAAAGGAAAATATATTTGAATGTAAGTGTGTGTGTGTGTGTGTGTGTGTGTGTATGAAAAGAGAAAAAGGGCATGTGCAATTGTGTGAGCAAAAACGTTGTCCAAGGTAAGGCACAATGATTTGAATGGGCATTAGAAGACTTCTCCAAGAAAGAACTTTCCCCCCAAAATACCCTGGAGTCTTGTTTCTCTGCCCGCTGCAGTGTGCACATATGATTTGTCAGGCGAGAATTTTAATAAAGAAAAGGAAATGCCTAGTGCATGCTCCTCCAAAGGCCCAGTTTTTGGTCCTGGGATTATCAAGAACCGAGTGACCCAGCAGAGTACATTTTCTAATTGCCATCTCAAACCTTCTTCATCTTGGCTTCATGATGGACACTAAGCAATGGGGTGGAGAGGAAGAGTGAGGGTGTCCCACCCAGATCCCCTTCACCAGCCAAGGCTTCCATCTCTCAGCTGCCGAGCTGCCTGCTACAACAGCTCCATGGAAAACTGTCTTGGAGCCATCTTACCTGGAGATGCCTGGGAGGTTACTCCATCTCCTCAGCCCAGGGTGGCCAGTGATTGACTCAGTGGTCAAAGTCCCTACCTTCTTGTCTCAAGGGGATGTTCTATCTACTCTCTAGAGATGGCCTTCCATATCCTTCTTTCCTTTTCCCCCCATCAGTCCAGGGCTAGACTTTACCTGAGACAACATTCTTATCAGACCCCTCTCCCTGCCCTACCCTCCCCTGTTCCCTTCCAGGGCCCTCACCAAATCATGGGTACCTGATTCCCCATCTTAGGCTCTGCTTTTAGTGATCCTGACCTAGGACAAAGGGGTTTCTTGGAAATTCCAAGTAAATTAGTTGGATGGAAATGGAAGGAATACAGTTTTCTTATTATCTGAGTTTTAGGATTAGCCAAGGAAGGGGTTTTCTGTTATGTTTTTCTTTTTTTAAAGTATTTTATTGTGTTTTTGGTGAAAGTTTACACAGGAAATTAGGTAGTCATTTAACAATCACTATACATATTGTTCAGTGACATTGGTTACATTCTTCACAATATATCAGCATTCTCATTATTTCTATTTTGGTTGTTCTATTTCCATTAATCTAGCTTCCCTGTCCTCCCTAGCCTTCTCATCTTTGGTCTAGGGCAAATGTTTAGTTTCATCTAGACAGTTATTTTGAGGAGCACAATACTCATGGGTGATATTATTTATTTTATGGCCAAGCTGTCATTTGGCTGAAAGGAGACCTCTAGGAGTGGTTTGAGAAGGAAGGATTTTTTTTATTTAGCTTTCCATAAGACCAGAGAATGCCATGACTTCCTGTCCCTTCTTTTCAAACTGGACCATGAAAGAGAAAAATTCTCCTTCCAACTATAATAAACAGTGGAAAGTAGCAAGACCACTTCCCCCAAAATGGCCTACTAGAGAGATTTTAAAAGAAATGATGGAGAACTATACATTCGCTTCCCCAGGCCCACCTACGAACCAGCCAACGGTGACTTCTGCTAACCCTGACGAGATCTGCTCATGCTTCCAAGGGAGTTTTGATTCTCTACTCCACAGGTCCTTTAATTAAACAAATAGATATACATGGGGCCAATCGTGCACCCATTTGATGCCACTGAAGGCATAATTCAAGATAAGAGAAGAGGCAGTAACCGGACAATTTACTTGAAAGATTATTAAGTTAATGATAACAATAGTTGATTACAATGTCACTGAATATGCTTCTCTTTTAACCACAACGACTCTACGCTTATTTTCAGAATAATCTGATAATATATTTCAGCTCCATTTATGTGGATGTAATATTGACTACAAAACTGAACATCAGGAACATATTTGGAGACCCACTTGCATATGGTGCCTTGGAGATGTTTATTTAGTTCTTGCTGGTAAGTATCTGCTATCTCATTAAGACATGAAAGTATTTTATATTTTCTTACATCTAAGCTATTTCTTTATACTTTAAGTTTTGTTACTGTGTAGGTTTTAGATATAAATCTTCCTGTAGGCTTTAATATTAACTGTGGTTAAAATGACTTTCCCCCTCCTTTTTGTCTCCATTCTTCAGCTATGGCAATTGACAGGCCCCTATGCCTGAACACAGCAAATCACTGCAATTTTATTTACCTTTCAAGAGAAGTTAGAAGGTTCATAAAGAACAGAATAGGAAATATTTTTTTCTTACTTAGCTAGAATTCTACTATTGCAATAAGTGCTAAAACACTGAGTATCTACGAATTTTTTTTTAGAAAAGATGCTTGTAACTAAAAACTACTAAAAGTTAAATTAAGAACGACTCATGTAAGAAACACTTCTTAGAGAGAGCTGAAAAAATTTCAATGATTTTTCAAATCCTTTAGGAACTTTTTAAAGTAATGTAGAGATCAGTTAGCACTTGGATATATGTGAAAAAACATGTGGATCACAGATGTTCTTTGGAAACGAAAATCATTAGTTCTTTTAACATGGCTAATAATGATTGCTAATTCCTAAACAATCACACTCATGCTGGTTTAACAAATATTTCAGAAAAAGAGCCCTGACTCATTCAACAAATATTTTGCTCATATTGTCACTTCTGCGTCTCTATACTTATGAGACAGATCCTTATTTTTATTAATTGCCCATGACTAACATAACATTTCCAGTAGTTTGCTATTAACCTCTGCCCTTAAATAATACTTCTAATTCCTTATCTAAAAATAATTTGATGAATTATAAGTTGAAGCATGTCTCTGCTAGCCTTTTAAGACACACGATGATTTTTAAGAGACTGAAATCAGACGCTTCTTAGAAAAATATTTAATGGTGCAGCTGGGAACTGTTAGTTCTTGAAGGGTATTCCAAAAAAACAAAAGGGGGGAGTATGTGCTTTTCTTGATGTGCTTTATCTCTTAAAAAATAATGGGAAACAGACATTTTGATATGCTAGTTCTTTGTCGGCAGAGAAATAAATTGGCTCATTCCCAATTTACAATGGCAAAAATAATATTAATTTATTCTACTGCTATTTAAATACCCTGGAATATTTTGACTATTTAAAATTATATCAACCAAAACTCTATTAATGGTGATAGTAATCTGATCTAGATTTTACAGAAAGCAACTAAAGAGGCCAAATGCTTTATAATTCCTGAATACCTTTTCTAGGTCAGTTTTCCTAAGTGTGATTGTCAAATCAAATAAACGTGGGAAGACAATGAACATGTCAGAATATTTGCAGTATCTGACAAAAGCATGATCTCCAAAGCACTCTACTGGTTTTTAAATGAGAAAGATATAGATTTACTCGGGAGAAGTGCGACAAGGAACGAAATGCGGTGCTTTGTCGAAAAATGTGAACGTAATTACATTTTTAGGAGAGGTCTCTGGGACTTGAAATATTATAAAACCATATGTAGGGAGTGGGACACTACTCTCAAAATTAAATTAGCTCATAACTTTTCTGAATAATAGAAAAGACAGGGGACTAACAGTCTTAAAATAATGAGACGGATCCGTTCTCGGAAACTAAAATGGTACAAGGAACAACCCACACTTTAAATGTAGTAAATTTGCCAAGCAACATTACACTGCATATAAAGAGGGCAAAATATAAACAGCAGCCACATGTAAATAAATCAGTAAAACTTTCAGGATGTTACTACTTTTCAAACTGACAAAGTTTAATTTGACACCTTCTGTTCTAAACCTTTTGTTTCTATTCAAAATCACGCCTTGAGCTGTAACTATCAATCACAGCACTCCCCCTATTACTTAAAAAAACTGGCATGGACCCTGAACAAGCTGAAAATGCCATGCAGATGAATTCTGAGATAATATGTTCAAACCTGTTATATACAACACAAATCCTGTAAAGTTATGTATTGTAAACCTACATTTATTGAAAACTAAACGTCTTAAATCCATCTGCCACAAAGGAAATACTGTTATGTACTTGATAGTAACCAAGAACTACCTGCAAATATCTTGCTACCGTAAGCAAGAAAACGGTGCAAAGATGCTAAACCTAAGACTGTATGAAATAAATAACATTCTTTTGACTGGTTTTAGTTAGGGACCTATGAAAGAAATGTAAGATTTGGGGTGGGGGCGGAGGAGAGAAAACACAGAGTGACTGACAAACTAGTAATGCAAAAAAAAAAAAAAAAAAAGAAAAACTCAATGACAACACAATTACAATTTATTATGGTCCATGAAACACATGAGTGCATGCCCATTTTAAAGGAAAAATTAGCAGTTCTAAACTCAATATTCTAATGATGCGCTTTACTGACAGAATCTTGTTGTACCACATTTAAATAAAAAATCCTGGCACCTTCATCTCTCAGCTGCTAATTTCCAACCAAACTCAATCTCTGATTTCCACTCCACTCTTTCTAGAACACTTAATTCATGTCAATTCACTTGTAACATTTTAACGGATAAGGGGTGCACAATGATTTTCATTGAGTCAGGAAAGTAACCTTTCAGCAATGAATTTATTGTACCTACAAAGCCTCAAGCACACAAAAGAGAATTCTTACAGGGGCTGGTCTGTGACAGAGCTGGGAGCGGGTAACACAACTCGT